CGTGAGGGTCCTGACGTTCAGTGCAGCTGAGGTATCCATTGGATTCTTGGCAGCATTTCAGGGGTCAGGCGGATGGTTGTCTGCATTTATAAACAGGAAATTGCATCAGCACGTAGGCGTTGTGGGGGGCTTGACTACCCAAACCCTAAGCCCAATCAAAGCCCAAACTCCTCAAAGCAGCTACAACTCTAAACACGAGACCTCAAAACCCCAAGCCCTTGAAGTCAAAAGCTGCAGCTCCCCATCAGCGCCAAGCAACATTCCTCCTCGCCCTTATGAGATGTCATTGTCCAGCGCAATTGGCAGCGCCATTATTTCCCTAAGGGTCCAAGGACCCAAATAATAGGGTTTTAGGGCCCAAACACTATAGCATTAATAGTATTTTGAAATTCAGGACGAATCTCTTTTTGCCGAGGTCCTCTAATCAATTTGAATGAGCTCTGGCGGGCTTATGCGGGCTTTGTATCTGTGTCCCAAGACCTTGGTAGCTGTTACGCAGACGTGAATTCCAGGGTCGTAGCCCTTGAACGAGGTGGCAGGCCAACATCTAGACCTTCAAAAGAGAGATCAAACTACTCTGCCCTTTGCCAAAGACCACATGATCTCGTTTCAAACGAAGCAAGCAAGAGCCATGCCCCATGTTATTCAACCTGAGTTCCAAGTTTCCGTGGGCGTTACCCCAACAAATCTGCACGTTTGGCTCTCGCCGTTGCCGCTTTTTCTCTTCTGAACCCGTGCAGTCAAACCTAAAGCCGCGAACATCCTAAAGTTCCAGAGTCTGATTCTGAAGCCTTAGACTTGCCAACCCTCGTTCCATTAGAACATCTCATACTTGTTGCTGTATATGACTGCAACAGGATAAGCCCCAAGGCCCTTTCATTAGAGGGTCATAGAGGGTTTTGGTACCCAAAAGCCACGTCATTGGGGAACACAATGCTTCATTCGGTTTGTGCAACTGGTACAGCTCAATACATCAAAGCCTTAACCCTACAGATCGCTACAGTATGTTGCGGAGAAGAAGGACAGATTCTCCACAATCCCTGGAACCAAACGCTGGAATTTCACTTTCCATGTTCTTTCATGAGGCCCTCGAGAATGCAAAGTATCTAGACCCCTGCCAAAAGCTCAAGATTACGGGCTTAGGGTTTAGGTGCATCGATTCCTAAAAGGATCTCCTGCGAGCACAGATGGCTATCAGCATGACGCCTCCTGGACAGCATGGGTTTAGGGTTTAGTGTTTAGAGTCTAGATTTAGGCTTCGAGTGTCGCGTGTAGGGGTCAGGATTAAGAGTTTAGTGTTCAGGATTTAAAGTTGATTTGTGCGATTCTAACACCCATTCTGCACCCAAAAACCTTAACCCGCACCTCAAATGTGTTTGCAAATCGGCCCCTTAGTTGGTTCCCGTGAGAATCAGAACCCTGCAACATACTTGAAATCAATTCCTACCCCGCACCCACAAAAAAAAGAGAAAACACATAGTCATTTGCTACAGCATGTCGCAACTTTCAGATACATGCCCCGAAGCATAGTCCGTAACATACCCCCCTAAGCACATCTCCGTGGCGGACACAGCTTTTCCGGACACGCCCAGAGATGCAACGATCCAGACACTGTACCCTAGCACCATGTGTGCCAAAGAGTTGACCCCATGAGACCACGAACCTTACCCCCCCCCAAAAAAAGCCTATAGGGCCGAGATCGTATAAGCCCTCAACGCGGGCCTAGATCCCTTTGGGAGCGCATGCCTCACTCATCGTACACGTCTGCGGCCGAAGACATCATTCGAAACGAAGGCCGTCCTTTAGTCCAGGGTTTGGGTTTTAGGGTTTAGGGTATAAGGGTTTACCTGTAGCCACAATCACCTACAGTCGTATGGGTTATGGTGGGGAATCGACTGGAAAAATGGAACATTAACTGGAACTGGGATTATGTAGCCAGTGGTTTATACCTCAACGCGGTTCAGGATTTAGGGCTACTGAACCGGCACAGCCCCAACAGTGCTAGGCCCGGTTGTCTGGGGAGTCTGAGGCTTTGCACACGGAAGTTCACGACTTAAGTCGTTTCAGGGTTTCAGGGCCGTAGCTTTTGAGTGTGCCTGGACCCCAACAGTATGTAGAATAATGGCCTGTGTGGCTATGTTTAGGGGTTTTGATTTTACCTACTTTGGGGGTTCAGGTATTGCTGAGGGCTTGGGGGAGGGTAGCAGAGGATGTAGATGCCAGATCGAGGTTTCTTGGAATGTTATTTACTGTAGGTGGACCCCCGACCCTGTAATAGTGACTATAAGGGATAATGGTGCCTATATTCACAATGATTGCAGGGTGGGGGGGTCCACCTAAGTTTTTTTTGGGGGCTTAGGGCGTGACCGTTTGGCAGGGAAGAAAGCAGATGGTCCTACTTGCAATCCCCATAGCCCCGCATGAGTGTCCATAGCTCATAGCCAGTCGCAGCGTGCAATCCGCATATTTGCTTTTTGGTGACCATGATTTCACCTTCAATGCAAAGGGTTCAGGAAGTTCAGGGTGATTCAGGTAGCTAAATTGTAAATATCAGCGCCCAAAGATCACAAAGTATGCACTTCTATATGGAAATCTGTTTGGGTGTTAAGAAAACCTGTAACCCCAACTACCCACAGCTTTGCAGAAATTACCTTCTAACTAGTGGGTATAACCCACAAAACTGCCGATGCTTGGGGTTACATAGTCCCGAGAAACCCCTATCTAACCCTGGTATCCATTTCATGTTCCATGTTCCTTTCTTTTGATTCTCCATTATAAATTATAACCCGTAAGACCGTAACTAATGAGGGTTACAGGTCTGTTCTATACCTACATGGACCCTGTGGCTTTGCTAAGAAGATGTGCGAGGAGTGGCTTCCTATCATGATCTGTTCCCAATCCCCGGTTCCCGTGCATGGGTTGAGGGTTAAAGGGTTTAGGGTTTTAGGTTTCGGGTTTAGGGTTGGGGCATTGATAATGGTTGTCGAATTCACTTCCTCACTCTAGGAACTTAAGACCCCCAAATTACATCCTCCCCAAAGTGATTCACCCGTAGTCTGGGTTAGGATAATGAAGGTGGAGCCTAGGGGGACTATGCAGCCGAGTGAGTGCTTAGGAGGACCTATGAAGCAGGAGAACCCTAGACCCTGAACCTTATAAAGCCTATAAACTCCCTAAACCCTATAAAGCCTATAAAGCTTATCAACCCTTAAACCCTATAAACCTTATAAACCCTAAACCCCAACCCTAAATTCGCGGGGCAGCAATTTTGCATCTTGCACCGCGGCCCTCGCGCAATTGTCATCCGAAACCCTGTCCCTGCAGCTTGGCCTGTTTCTGGCCTTGGGTTAGCTGGGAATGAAGGAATGGAAAAGAAAATGGAAACGACTATAATGGGCTACAAAAGGGTAATTTAAAGCGACCCCACCCGAAACGGCGGCCTGTATAGGGAATAGAGTTAGAGCCAAAGAGATTTTAAATGGGAATTGAAATTATTCTAAATTAACCTGGTTATATCGGGACTAAGGATCCATTCCTTCATTCCCAGATATCGAAAGGCCTAGGGCCTAGGGTCTAGGATTGAGTGTTCAGGGCTTTAATTTAGGGTTTAGGGTCAGGGTACAGGGTGTAGGATACGGCGCACCTTCGGTAGATCCGGGGTGGGTTGATATGGACATTTCGTGGAAAATTTACCCTAAAACCAACCCTAAACCCTAAATCTCTAAACCCCAAACCGTCTGAACTCCAAGGGATTCTTGGTAAGGCGCCCTGGGGGCCCAGGTTCACTGGAAAACTACACAACCCAGCTTGCGAGTTCATATTCTGAAAGACTCCTCTCTACCTGGGCCGTCCAATGTAGTTCCGTTTGGGTTTTTTGGTTAGGACTCTTATTAGGACTACCAAAAAAGTACTACATTGGATGGTCTAGGTAGAGCCCTGGGTGTTTCTGCCACGTATGTATTCGTTCGCCCACAGAGGCCCGGAATGCTTCTCAAGGCAAGTAGCTGAGCTTATGGCCCTCAACCTTTTGGCGTCGATATAATCCGACGATTCTCGAACAGTTTATAACCTCTTCGCAACAGGGAATTCTGCAGCGATGAAGGACAGGCATATCCTTAAGATAACACCCTAGCCCGATCAAACATCTCAGACCCAACGCCCTGAAAGACGTACCGGTTCTCCTCCCCCAAGCTAAGGTGGAAGCCCAGGTCTTTGTAGGGCTTCTTATGAGTGCTGCTGTCATGCTAGGTTGGGGGAGTGCAGGCTTCGCCGTGACTTCCTTAAAGTAGACACATGATTAATCAACCCCCTGACCTTAATACGGATTATAACAGGGATCCTAATATTACGCCCCCTTAAAAGGAGGGGGTTTATTAACCTGGGGTTTAGATTACAGCCTACGTATTCAGGAAGCATCAAGCTGGCAACTTTTCAATGGAAGGGCCCCACCCAGGCTCGACCAAAGCATGCGTCGACTGCTCTAAACCCTACACACCTTAGACCTTAAACCCTACCTGGACCCCAAAAGTAGGTAAAATGCTAACCCATAACCCTAAACTCTACTTGTCCATGAGCCCTGAACACTTGGTTTGGGGTCTACGTACTAGAGCCCTAGATCCAGAACCATCCCAAACCCTAAATAAATACTTAAGCCCTAAGCCCCGAGCCCTAAAACAAAAATCCCTTTCCTTGCGCACAAGCTGGTATCTGGCGATATGGCATGGTTGCTTAACCTTGGGAAGGTTCGAATGAGCCGGATGGATGCAGTCGCAAAAGTCCATTTCCCTTAAAAGCTAAATCCCTAAAGTCCAAACCCTGAGCCCTGAAAACCTTACCCTACGGGTCCCAAATATACCCCTATCTACTATATATATATATATATCCCCTTTAAAGGGACCTACCTAAATTCCGGAATTTGAGCCCTAACCCTAAACCCTAAACCCTATATATCCCCTTCCAAGGGACCTCATTATTGGGTATTTGCACCCCCAAAACCTTAGGTCTTTCTGACACCATGGCAGCCCGCGCTTTGATCCTTACGGTCCTTCCCCTGTCCTGGACCCAGCGTGGCTGTAAGTGGCTTTAGGGTTTAGGAATTTTACGGTTTGGGGATTTAGGGTTTAACGAGTTAGGGTTTAGGGTTTAGGGTTTAGGGCTAGGGGTTGAGGGTTTGTGGGTTTAGGATGTGGGGGTTTGGGGTGGGTTCGGGGACTTTTGGGGGCCAGAGGGTTTAGAACTTATGGCGTTCAGGGCTTTGTGTGTGCTAGGGCGCTGTATCCCTCCATATTCAGCGTAATCCCCACGTAACCCCAAGTTTCCATTTCATGTTCTAATTTCCTCTTCCATGTGACTTTCCATTCCTAGCCAAGCCCGGTCGTAGGGTTCGGGTTCCGAACCCTAAACCCTAACTGCCCTCTCTGGGAGTTTGAGTTATTCGGTTGAGGGTTTAGGATTTAGGGTTCCGAGGGTTCGGGTCTGTCTCAACAGGAGTCGGGCAACTGCTTCAATGGGGGATTGTCAAAATTATGGTCCCTTTTTGGGTCCCTATTATAATACGGGGCCTAAACACGGGGCCTAATTTAGGGGACCAAAAAGGGACCATAATTTTGACAATCCCCCCAATGTCTTTTCAGTTTGATCGCTTGGCAGCCTGAGCCCAGCGTATCAGCAAGAAAGCTGCCGTAGCAGACAGCTTTTTGTCTCTTAATGTTGTTGTTGCCATCACCTGTACCACTTCAGTATCAGCATCACCTCCCGTTTCTTGAGAATTTCTGCTACTTTTATAGTATACTCCAAGCTCTAAGTCTAGGGGGTTTGAAGTCATGATTGCTAACGAGTGGGACTGCTTCCTCAAGGAGCAGAAGGTTGACCAAAGACTTGTGGTCCCCAGCAAGGAAATCCAACTTTAAATCGTAATCTTTTTTCCTCCAGGCCCCATAACCCCGTATTGGGACGCAAAGTAAGAGTGGATCAAGGAGCCTTTCAGGTCTCTTAGCCCATCTTGGCTATACCCCAGGAGCTACAGGGATTTATTGATGGCAGGCAGCACATGAGCAGCGAAGATTTTTGACAAACCTGCACATGGCCCATGAGCTATGAGGCTTGTGGCGTGCCAGTCGGGAGGCAACCTTCGTGGAAGCCCGAGCATCGACAGCAACTCGGCGAGCAGTATGGGGCCTGAAGGTTTATGGAGCCTATGGGGGCTTAGAGCCCCCCTATAGTAGATAGAATATGGGGTATATGGGGATCTTACTATAACATACCCAAAGCCATATTCAATCTACTGAAGGGGGACTATAGAGCCTAGAGAGTCTATAGGGGGTTTGGGGTGTCGGGTTAAAGGGGTTAAGGGGGTTCAGGGTTGGAGACTCAGCGATTTTGCGTTTAGGTGTGCAGGGTTTGGACTTTCGGGTGCTCAGGGGTAAGGATCTGCGATGCGCGCAGATTTCCATAGAGGGTCCTGTCCCCGTCCAGCAATCTCATAAGCTGTAGTCTAAACTCCCCATAAAGGGGGTTTGTAGAGGATATAGTAGAGTGAAGTCTTAAAGTGGTTTACTCAGGGGGATACTGGGTGCTTAGACTATAGCTCATATGAAGTCCTGAATCTACAGCGCCTCAAGCATTGCACTGTCTGGGTTACTTTGCTTCTGAACTTCTTCGCCAGAAAACTGTGGGTACTTGGTTACATAATCCCCATCAACCCCTATATAACCCCAGTTTTGATTTCCATGTTCTTTTCCATTGAGTTCTCCTTTATAAGTAGCCATAAAACTGTAGGTAATTGGGATTGACCTTAAACCCTTACTTACAGGTATGGCTTGAACCTGCCCCATCCCGCTGCGACTAAAGGGAAGGCTACACCCCCTGGCGGGGAACCTTTTAGAGGGTTCATATGGGGCTTTCATGGGGTTTATATAGGGCTTATATGGGATTTATAATCGGGTTGATAAAGGGCTTATGATGGGGTTCTAGGGCTTATTTTAAGGTTCATCTAGGGTGTATTTATAATAGGGTTTATATACGGTGTATAGGTGGGGATAACAGGGGAGCCCAATATAGACCCCCAAATACGATAATGCTTGTCATAGGGACCCCCCGAAAAGGTACCCCTAACGGTGGGAAGCCAAAATATGTTGGGCAGTATGCGGAACGCGGCCGCACACCTTATTAGTGGAGAATCACTGGAAACAAGAACGGAAAATGAAATGGACACTGGAATTGTGTAGTGTCTTTTACCTACAGTTTTACGGGCTGTACTTATTCATTCGAAGGGTAATTAGGGTAAATACTACTAATCGTCCCGGCAGGCTGGGATCGTTTGCAGGCAGGACATCCCGGCAGAAAAGAAAGGCCTCTTCGGTTGTCCCCCGGAAGCCTTGTCATGCACTCATCCAGGGGTTAGTTTATGTAAATGGGGGGACCCCAATGTAGACTCTAAAAATTACACTAGAATCCTTCTTATAGGACCCCCCAAAAAGGGATCCCTCATTTTGGACAACCTTAATCCCTTTATAGCATACTCCCAGTTTCCTTTTCATCTTGCATTTGTTTGTTCAAGTTGATTCTCTATGTTTAGGCCCCAAACCCTACAACTCCTATTTCATTTTCCATATTCGTTTCCAGTTGGCCCTCCATTACTCAAATTTGTTCCGGCCCTCAAACCCTAAACCTCGAACCCGAAACCTTAAACTTTCAGGCCAAACCCAAACTTGGAACCCCAAGCCCTTATATACATCGGGCTGGGCCCCCACCCACTAATAGTGGTATGCTAGGAAGATATAAGGACCCTAATGTAAGTACCATTACCTCTTGTACTCACTATTAGTGGGTGGGGGCCCAACCCTGTAATGCCTCAAAAGGGACACCTGAACCCCAAATGAGTAGTGTTTTATTTGGGGGTACTATGGTACCCAATATAGAGTGAACTTGGGTAACACCAGGAACTTGGGAGTCAAAGTGTTGGCTTCCAAAAGATAGGGTTGTTGCTGAGACCCGGTGTATCATGGGTGTGTAGTCGTCAACAGCTAGGCAAGCGCCGAAAGCCGTGATTGATGCCCATGGCCACACGCGCTCCTCTTATTCCCAAGCCTCATCCATCTTGACGAGACATGTTGCGGGTCTTCAGGGCTTCTGGCGAAGAAGCCCTCGCCGTTCAATTCCACGACTTGGTCGAGATGCTGGGTGCGGAAGGACGGCCAGTAGCAGTACTAGCTGTCAAGCGCCATTTACAGCGTCTTTGCGGGCAGCCACGCTTCAAGCAACGCTTGCTGCGTGCAGACGGCCAGATGTTGTCAGATGATGAGTTGTTGGAGGGGCCAATGGATGCCCAGCTTATACTGGAGTCTTTCCGTGCAAGCTCTGAGAAACAAATCCAACAACTTCAGGATGCCGCGTCCGACAACAACCTTCCAATCATGGAACAACTCCTGACGAGACCACAGGACCCAGACTTGGAAGGTGGAGGGGAACCGACGTGGTTGCATTGAAGCTGCCCGCTTGCTGCTGGAGGCGAACGCTGACAAAGAGAAGACTTCCGCCAGCGGCGCAACTCCGATTTCATTTGCTTCCGTGCATGGTCACACGGAACTCGTTGAGCTGCTCCTGGAGGCCAACGCTGACAAGGACAAGGCCAACAGCAATGGCCCCACACCTCTTCTCCTGGCCTCCGCGCAAGGTCACGCGGAAGTTGCTCGGGCTCTCTTGGAGGCCAACGCTGACAAGGAGAAGGCCGACCGCGACGGCTTCACAGCGCTTTGGGCGGCCTGCTCGGAAGGCTGTTTGGAAGTTGTCCAGCTGCTTTTGGAGGCCAAGGCTGACAAAGATAAAAAGGACAACTTGGGTATAACTCCACTCCGCACGGCCTCGGAAAATGGCCACACGGAAGTTGTTCAGGTGCTCTTGGAGGCCAACTCTGGCAAGGAGAAGGCCGACAAGGATGCAGGTTCCACATATGTGGTTCCTAAGCGACCGCGCTTGGAGTAGCAAACTTAAACTGACGGCAGTTGGCAAAGAGAGCTCCATTTTCCCCTGCACATGAGCCGTTGTCGGACAAGTACTGTTCAGTTGCTGAGTCAGGGATAATACCCCGAAAATGGAGAATCAAATGGAAAAGAAAATGGAAAATGACATGGAAACTGGGATTATAGGGGTTTGCAGGGATTATATGAGCTACCATGGATATCAGGGTTACCTAGAGACCAGTACCGGTGGACACAGGGGTGAGTCTTGTCCCCAACCATTAGTCTCCCTAAGCCCTAAACCCTAACAGGGGGACTCCTGGCTCTTCCCAGTCAGGTTGGGGAGCGTATCCCAGGCCGATTCTTTTGCCTACCTGGACCTCAGGCCTCAAGAGTGGGTAAAAGAATGTTGCAAAACGCAGAACAAGAGCCAAAAACACTCCCAAGGGGTCCATGTAGCTATATGGTATATACTTGGGCCTTAATGTAGGTATATGGGAACCCCATTGGGCCCTAAGTATATACCATATACCTACATGGACCCTTCGGGACTATCACTCTTCATACTTTCGGGGTGCTGAGCCCAGCAGTGCTCCCCGACATTTTTTGTGGCTCACGCAAATTGGAGGAACCGTCAGGGATTTCATTGACGTGGCGGAATCTGACGAAACCTTCCGCCGATTTTCTTGAATCCCGTAGCGGACAAGGATGCCCACCATGCATTTTTCACAAGCTTAACCTCGATGTAGACCGAAGATCCGGAGACCATATCCTCCTTTTGGGGTATAGTATTCTATATAAGGAATATTATCCCTAAACCCTAAACCCTAAACTACTCAAAAGGGACGCCTGAACCCCAAAGGAACCATGAGCTCCTCAGGTCTTATGGCGTGCACCGGCACCGGATCGCTGCCCGATGGTCCGGCTGCTCGTCTCGGTATACTGGTTTCCTACGGTTTGAGGGTTTTGGGTTTAGGGCTTGCTGGCGATTGAACAAGTCCAGCAGCAAAAAAAGGGTTAGGGCTTAAGAGATATAGGGGATTAGGGGTTTTAGGTTCAGAGTTTTGATTAGGGGTTTAGGGTTTAGGGTTTAGGAGTTCAAGGGTTAGAGGTGTAGGGTTTAGGGTTTAGTGAAGATATCTTGCACTACTTAGGACCCCCACTATGGTGCAAGATTTCCTCCATCCACAATGCAGTCCATGATTTGGGATTGAGCGCTTAGGGCCTGTTCGGGGTTTAAGGCCAATTTGGGTTGAGGATCTAGGCTTCATAGGGCCTATTGAGGGGCGAGGATTCAGTTTTTAGGCCTGTTGCAAAACAGTGTTTAGGGCTTGTTTAAGGCCTGGAGAGTTACCTACCTAATTATAGAAAATATCGCCCACCTGTATACCAATATCTATTTGTGTGTGTTCCCACTTTGTGTAGGTTTAGCTGCTTTTAGGGCTACTGTTGGAAACTGCAGGACATACAAGGAATTTGTATTGGAACGTTTGAAGAAACACCCATGTAGGGCTCAGGACTCGGGGTTTCGGAGTTCAGGGGGTATAGGGATTAAAGTTACCAGTTCGCTTCGTAGGATGATTACGGGTTTAGCGATTAGGGCTCCATAATTATGGATGCTTTATTTGGTACGGCACTTTTTTGGGGGGGATGGTGTTCAAATGCTACGCAACTTCGGAAATCATGCAACTGGCGGTTTCTCTCAGAGGAGCTTAGAGCTCGCGAGGCTGTATGGGGATTACCGGGGATTATTGGAATCCTTCTTGCGGGATTCTAGAGATAGCATTTGGAAGAACTCCTAAATCAGCCGGTTTCAAGAACTGAGGATCGAGATGCAGGCTTGTGTCATTTTGAGGTCTCTCCGCCTTAGGATTTGGTGCACATGGCAGGCCGCAATGGTCTGGGGTTTCGGGCAGTTGTTCTTACAGTTTTTCGTTGCGAGCATGGTGTTTTTTAGGTGCAAGGGCAGTCTCCCAAATGCAGTCGGCTGCAGGCGCCAGATGTTTAGTATGAATATTGTAGTATCCCTATTGTAGGGGTCCTATATACCCCCTTTTTAGTCCCCATATATCCTTTACCTGCTCTTGCATGTGTAAAGCATTGTAAAGCCATTATTCGGTCACTGGCAGGCTTGCGGAAGGCTCAAAGTCTGGGATCTGTAGCCGTCAAGCAATGGACACAAACTACTATAGGGTTTAGGATTTAGGGTTTGGGATTTAGGGTTTAGGGTTCTAGGCGCCAAAAACATGTTTTTCGGGACCTAAAGCGTACTTTTGAAAGAGGCTCCTGCAGATGATGCGTACCTTTGCTGGATTGCTGTTGTCGAACCAAAGCCAAGTGACCGCAAAGAAGGAGCTCGTTCTTTCTTTATATACGAAGTGTATTACATGGTAACTTTGTTGAAAATAGTTACTGTACAAGCAAACCACTCTTTCAGGGGTCTGTAGAGTGAGAACCCTAATTTTGTCTGGGATTGCAAAGGGGTCTTTTTGATAGGCGTGCGCGTAGAATAGACTTTGGCCCAACATGTCTCGTGTTTGCCTCAGGTCTGCTACGGGGGATCTCTTTTGTCGGAGACTTTCAACATCCACGTCATCAGCCACGATGGGCAGGTTGGCATCGTCGACATGAAGGCGCCGAAATACACGCTACAAGCGTCTGGACTCTAAACTACGGCTAGAACTCCATGAAAGCACCTCAGAACGCGAAGACCTTCAGTTGTAGGGATCTAGGGTTGATAGTCTAGATGTTCATGTTACATATGAAGCCCTCCCTAAATAGGAAGGCTGTTAGAAATTAACGAAGACATTAGAGCCCCAAATCCGAACCAACCCTAAACCCTAAGTCCCCGATTGCAGGCGGAGGGCCCCATGGCCGGGGAATGTGAGGGCGCCAACTTCCAGAACAATGACAACGTGGCTGGACGCGGTTTAGGGGTGTAGGGTCTAGGGGTTTTGGGTTTAGGGGATTACCGGAAGTTCCCTAGGAGCAGTCTTCAGTTCCTACTACCTAGACTCGTATATAAGAGCTCCACTTCATAGTGGGCCTGAACCCTAAATCCTCTGTTCGGGTTTGGGGTGTTTCGGGCTTCGTGGCCGGGCTTGAAAGAGGAAATTTGGGTGAATGCTATCAGACATCATGGGGAATGCTTTAGGGATCGCTTGGGCTGAAGCCCGAATCTAAACCCTAAAACCTATACACCCTACAGATTTTAGATACTTGTTTTTCTGCAGTGCTTTTTTGCTCGGGCCTGCGCCTGTGTCTCGACTAAGCCTAGCTCACGGTGCACCTTTAGTTAATTGCCCCTTAAAATGAGAGCGACCCATGAAACTGTAGGTGCCTGAGGTTGCAGATAATCAGCAGGTGTGGAAGGTGCAGGGTTTCCTGGGGGAGGAGAGGGGGAGGAGGTTCAGGATGGTGTTCGGTTTAGGGTTTAAGGTTTAGGGTTTAGGATTTCGTACGGCATGTCGTCAGCAGACTCCTGTAAGCCTAGGTTGCAATCCTGACCAAGACCGCAGATTAGCAGGCTCATGTATAACTCGCGCCGTACTGGAGGAAATCTTGCAAAAAGATGTTTGCCCTTCGCTTTGGTGAAGCCCTAAACACCAAATCTTTTTGCATTCCTCCGGGGATCTTGGGTGGTGCATTTTTTTGCAATCCAGCATGCAAGTACAGAACTCTCATTAGCAGGGTTTCTATTGGAACTGCTGGGCATGAAGTTTGTGAGACCACACTTTAAGACCGCGGGTCATGTCCTTCACCAAAAACTGTACTACACTTGTTGTTCCGGAAATCTGAAGCGCCCAGTTGTTCTAGTGTACATGGGCCCTATGGTAGCATTAAACCTCCAGTCCATAGCTGAGCAGCATCGGCCGAGGTCATTACTGTTGAGAATGATCACGGTTGCGCCCTGCTGGCATGAAGTCAGTAAGCATGCTTTCATACATTTTTTTGCATGGTTGGAGGGTCACATACTAGGGAGCCCTTTCTGGCGCATGGAGGTTTAGGAAACTTGTGGGCCCTTTTTGTTCCCTTTTGGGTACCCTCAATATCGGATTCGGGAGACCCCAAAGCAAAAACCATTTGAGCTATAGTCTAAACTCCTAGTATCCCCCTTAATATCCCCAATAGTAGTCCCCCATATAATCCCCTATATAAACCCCTTTAAGGAGTTTAGACTATGCTCATTTGAACCATCCTGCCACATAGCTATGTTTTGGATGCTAGCAACGAACACTCCAGGGCCTCGGCACTTGCAATGTGCACAGTTTCCATTTGAGCTATAGTCTAAACTCCTTAAAGGGGGTTTATATAGGGGGTTATATAGGGGACTACTGTAGGGGTTGTTAAGGGGGATACTAGGAGTTTAGACAATGGCTCATGTAATTGTCCATTTTCTTTTCCATTTGATTCTCCATTATATGGCTCATATGACCCAGTATAGTAGTTTCCATTGTATTTTCCATTATCCCAATACCTTCGGCACTTGCAATGTGTGTAGATTTCCTACCATCATCTTGCGGGTTCCTGCTCGCGCCCAACATAAAAGAGACCCAAAACCAGGAGGCACAAATTGAACACACGAACGCAAAGATATTGCAACGGCCAGGCAGCAAATAGAGGGATTCTACGGAGCCATGTTGATGAAATGAGTTTGAAATCCTACACTTCCCCGAATTAACAAACTGAATCCCATAACCCATTTTCTAGAGGACTGTAGCCCTTGTAGGGCCAGGTTAGTGTGGGGGGACGCAACCCTGTCCATCTTATGAACTCCCCATGTTTGGGGAAGTCTTTGGAGGAGGGTAAGCCCTAAGCAGCTCATTTTGGGCTCCTTAACAGCTCTCAAGACGCCTCAAGCCACAGGAGTCTGCCCCCTCAAGTGCAATATGACCAGGAAGGAAGCCCAGTGTTACCCTTTTACCCTTTTTGGGTGCTAGATTTCTGTATATAAAGGCAACCAACAATGAAAAAGGGCACCCTTACTGTAGTATAGCTACTGGGCTACCAATATGGAACGCTGCCATAACCCTACGTAAATGCGGTTCAGACTACAAGGCCGTGTGCACACCGAGTAAGACCGCCTTCCTAAACCTTAGACCCTAAACCTTGGGTACTGCCCCCTAGTATATAATAGGGGTACTATTAAGGGCTATATATAACCATATTGTACTTATTAATCCAACTGTTACTGAGTGGGGGCAGTACCCAACCTAAACCCATTTTGGGACACGTTTGTAAGAAGGACTGTCTGGCATCGTGTGCCGCAGAAGCACGCAACCCCAATCCCTGCGCTCCCTCCCAAACGAATATGAAACCCTTGACAGATCCTTTTGAGAGCACGTCTTTGGAGGCCGTTTTTGAGCGTTCCACTTGTGTTTATAACCCTAAGGCTCCAAGTCTATAAAAGATACCTACATTGGGCCCCAAAGTCTGCAAATAGTACCTACATTTGGCTCTTTGGAGCCTTAGGGTAAGAGAGAGCAACCTGGTAACCCAAAGGCGTCTGATGGTTTTCTGGTGCTTAAGATGGAGCTGGGGAGTGAATATGAGGACGACTATAAGGGTATATATGGGGGTTTCCTAAAATTAGGGCTACCTTTTTTGGGGGGATCCCCTTAATAAGGATTACGATTTATTGGGGTCTATATTTGGGTCCCCTACTTTTGGGAAACTACCATATGTGGGGATTCTATAGGCATTGTTTATAAGGATCCACTCCCCTACTCTGCCTTCAGCACCAGTAAGATTGCCCAGGTGGCTTGACAAAGTATGAGTACACGGTTGAGTACTGCCCCGACCAGGCAGCTACCTAAGGTGAGTGCCCTTACATGGGCTCCTTAATGGGGGTTACATAGGGACTAGTATAGGGGGACTACAAAAGGGGTTATTCGGGGGGATACTAGGTGTTTAGACTATGGCTCATATGAGGCTTACACACGGTTTTGGGTTTGGTGTTTAGGGTTCAGGGTCCTGGGTTTCATACAGTTACATCGGGTTTGATGAGGCAATGTTGCGTGCTGCTTCTGTTTTGGAGTGTAATGTATGGCTTCATGCAGCTGCATCGGATTTTACAGGTTCATGTATCAAGGTTTAAGGTGTGAAAATGGACCTGGGCTTTTTTACGGGCTTCTAGGCCCTCCTGCACATAATGCAGGCCTTAGAACATCTATATGCTCATGCAGTTTTGCCAGTTTGTTCAAAACCGAAGCGCCCAGTGCTGCTGCTGCCAACATAACTACTACTCCAGCACTGCTAGTAATTTGAATTACAATGCCTTTTCCTGTTCCTACTCCTATATTTTTAGCCTACAGCTGATACATGTAAAAAGTCCAACAAGAAGGACCATGTGATCGTAAACCTGGCCAAGCCCTACGTGGTCCGCGTCGTGCTGGCGACTGGGCCTTGCTTGGAAAGCTGTTGTTGTAAGGGTTTAGGGTTTAAGTGGGCTTTCTTCTAAGGCTTGGAAAATTTGGAATATGGGGGCTTACTTGGAAAGTCAGGGTGTGGGATTCCAACGTGTACTAATTTGTTGGTACACGGGCGAAGCATTCAGGACTAATAGGGTTTAGAGTCCGTCTATGTAGTTTTAAGTTCAAGCCTCCCGCCAGGGTGTGAAGTGAAGCATGGAGGGCCAAGCAAGCCCCAGCAGGGCAAACACCCAAGGCCCAGTAACTTGGAGCGCCAAAGTTTGGAAGTCTACTGGCTAAAATCTCCCATGGCTTCGCAGCCAGCGGCTCGTTCCTCAAAATCTCCATAAAGGACTATATACTCGTCTAGTCATCATGGGAAATTTCTCGAAGTATTCTCCAATGCAATCCCTGAAGGAACCCCCCTTACGCTTTCCTTATAGTGCCTGGTGTATCCAAATTCGCTTGCAAGACCTTCAGCCTCAACTCTTCATATCCCTACATCCCCCTTACAGGCACCTGGGGCCAAGGTTTAGGGTTTAGGGTAGCTTAGGGTTCTCTTTGAGAACAAACCGCCAGCAAGGACAGCCAGGCATGCCCTGCTGCTGGCGAGGCCAGATTGCTTCTTTGGGCAGTTCATGGCGGGTCATACTGTTGATATTAAAAAGTCCTGCATCGAGTTAGTATACTGTAGTACCATAATTCATATCCTACAAGTTAGGCATGACCCTAAAGGCCTAACATCTTGGGAATGATGGTATTGTAGTCTACTAAGCTCATACAGGTTTTCTAGCACCAACACTAGTTCAGCGTTTAGCGTTGATGGAAGATATCTCAAAATGGCCCTATGGAAGTCCCAAGGATTTTGGGGATTAGACAGAGGTTGCATGGGTTGCCTCTAGGGCTGAAGAGGACCAGTTCTGAAACCGCGACAAAGATATTTCAGAGACAGGATGTGCTGAATGCCAATATCTTACGGAAGCCATATGTAAGCCCCAACAAACCCGAACATCTACCCACATATCCCCCTTTGAACTGGACAGTGGTCTTCACAGGCCTAGACCCTAAACCCGTAAGTGGTTTTCACAGGCCTAAGCCCTAAGCCCTCCAACGCCAGGCTTCACTGTAGGGTTTTGGTCAGTTTGGGGAAGGATAGTATTCAAACGCTGTTAGTCCTCACGTAAATCCTTAATTCCTATAACCTATAACTTTTAGACTCTAAACCCCTGAACACTAAACTCTAGATGCCTAATCCTAAACTCTACATCTCGAAGCCCAAACATGCCAACTGTGGCTGGAGGTCTAAGGGAGCAGAAAGGCTCAAGAAGAGCCCCTTGGGCATTAGATAACCCTCAGGGTTTTACAGCAGGGGTTTAGGGCTTTAGGATGTCCGGATTTAGGGTTTAGGCTTGAGGGTTCAGGGTTTTAGGGTTTCGGGTGTAGGGATTCGGGTACCTCAGCAAATATGGGGATTTCCAGGGATGGGGATATACAGGGATGTAGAGGGGTATACAGGGGTATATAGGGTGTAGAATACAATTCAAACCCAAAGTATAGCCTCTGCCACCCCCTAGAAGGGACCTACCTTTAAAGGATTTGGGGTCTGCGCTTCTGACTTCAGGTCTTAGGCTGCAAGGCTTCAAGAACTGGACATTGGAGGGCACTTTTTTGGGGGGTGAGGTCTATGAGCATGAAGTCTTGACATGCCTATGAAAAGTGTTTCTGAAGAGCGTTTTGCGCAATCCTGGGAATAGAATCCCCAAAGCCCTTTCTCCTGTATAATCCTTATATAAGCCCATGGAATCCCCAAAGGATTCTACCCCTTAAATTTATTGAAGGCCCAGTAAACCCTAAAGCCTTAAGCTGTGAGCAACGTGGTGGACTTCAGCATGGCTCGTATGTTTAGGGTGAAGGGTTTAAGGGTTTAGGGTTTTAGGGTTTAGAGTTTAATTGTTTAGGGTTTAGGTTTTGGGGTATACTATGCAGAGAGTTTAGGGTTGCAAGGGTGTAGGGGTTTGCAGGTTTATCCCACAGAACAGTAGGTACTGGGGCTATTACAGGTAAATCCCCACATCCCCAAACGGACCCTAAACCCAGAATTTCTTCAGACCTCCACCCTAAAATTCCTGAACTCAATCCCGTCAGCCCTGCACCCAAAATCCTTAAGCTCACAAAAATCCCAATATAGTGGTTTCCATTGTCTTTTCCAGTATCCCTATATACCTATATTCTCCCTACATTATCCCTATATTACCCGCTAAGCCCTCAATCCCTTTAGCCCTGCCTCAAAAATAGTTAGCTCAGGACATCAAGCCGCCCATCCTCCATCGTCTTCAAGGCTAATTGCGCCTTAGGATACGACCGCAAAGAGTTCTGAGGCGATGTCAGACGGGATTTAGGGTTTAGGGACATAGGGGTTTAGGGATTAGGCTTTGGGGTTTAGGGTTTAGGGACAGCGTTTGGGGTTTTTAGTGTTGAGGGACCAGCATACAGAAATCTTCCCAACAGCAGACGCCCCCCGTGTGTACCCCAAACACTAATAAATGTTCGTTGTAGTTGCAGGGTACGCCAAGGTTGGAAGATTTCAGCTGATTCCCCGAACTGTTGCAGAGATTATGCTAAGAGCTGAAGATGGTCAGGAATGTTCCCAAGGGCTCCAATGCAGTTCCTTTTTTGGGTCTGCTATGGTTTTCCGGTAAGGGACTATACCCTAAACCGTAAACCCGAAACCTACCCAAAAAGGAATTTCATAGAAGGGTCTGGGTAAAGAGGTTTGGGGAATCTGGTTCGAGATTCTTATGATTGTGCGGTCCCGTTTCTGGAGTCCCTAGCGCCAGCGGCAGCGCCTTCTTTTGATTGGAAATCCCTATATGGCTTAAACAGGGGTCATGTAGAGATGGCAGAGAACTGCCTGAGGGGGAGTGGGAGTAGCTACGGTCATCTTTACTTTCATTGCTATTGTAACTATTTCATCCTGATTTCCTGATTATTATTTTCACTTCTACTGTATGCAAAGCAAACTTGGTAGCTTCGACAAAGTAGGATAATAAGGATTGTCAGAGGGAGTAGGCCTCCAGCTTTATCAGGGGAAGGCCTCTGCAAAAAGAATGATCTGCAAACCTGAAGTTGCCTCAGACCTGGGGGCCTGGAAGAGCCTATACTAATTCACTTTAGCTGGCTTGTCATGCAGGTTCTCGGCCACGACCTTTCAGGAGTAGGATGAGCTTAGGGAGTCTACTGTACACTGTGCTTGCGGGACTACAGGCCCGGTTTGGATATTCCTGTTGATGCATACATAGAACGCGTGAAGGTGTTTTGGAGGGCGTGCGCGTAGGGCGCAACCATGAGGGTATGACATGCCACGGACAGATCAGCGTTTTCAATTTTAGGGTGACGGTCTGCTGGTGGCAAACAAGGTACATTTCATGGCGTAACTGTTGATACGGGGCTCTAAGGCCCTAAACTCTTTGCCGTGGAGCCTTATACCGTTACCCCCAAGCCCTAATTCCATGGCTGCGTTTGCTTACCGAAAGAGAACCCGGCATGCAGATTCCTTGTCCATGCTGCATGGCTTCCCCTCTCACACCCCCCTAAACAAACACCCCGATTCCCCTTAAGTAGGGCTCTTTAAAAATAGTACGGGCGAATCGGTGGTAGTAGGGGAACCCATGACTAGAGGTGGTGTCCCATTAGCCGTATGTCGTTTTGGCTTTAAATCAAGTTGGAAGACGAGCAGAAAGAGCAGTAGGAGTGGGGCTCGGAGTAGGAGTAGTGTAGTGCGCTTTAGGGTTTAGGATTTAGGGCTCAGGCTGCAGGCAAAGGAGTCGGGCAGAAGTAGCAGCAGTAGTAGTGGTAAGCTTCTCAGGTGCCTGGCAATGTCCAGGCACACCTGCATGTGGCAAGCCAGCTCAGTTCTGGCCGTGTGTGCAGCGCTTGAGGGCGTTTCTTGTTGTGAGTTTCTTCTAGCTGAGAGTGCTGGCACAACCAAGCCATAAAGCATGACTTAGAGATCTATCCTAGACGTACTGCCAGGGATGTGTAATGGGTAGGGATGGCGGTTGGCTATGTTCAGCCCATAGGTCCGCATACCTGCGCTGACTCATCTTTTCGACGTTGGATCTGAAGATTTATAGTCCCCCTTAAGTCGATAGAATATGGCTTTGGGTATCGATATCTTATAGTACGATCCCCATATACCCCATATTCTATCTACTTAAGGGGGAATATACGCGTAAACTATCGCATCAGGTTAGGGTTGCTTGTCAAGTTTTGGGGTGAATGCCTGTCCTCTAAGGCACCCTGTTCCTGACATGTAGCTCTAAACCCTAAACCCTCCTTAAAAGAAGCCTTCACGCCAAACTGTGTGCACTCCCTTGGTCCCGACATTTCCGAGGCAGACACAGCACGAAATGGGTATCCCAAAATGGTAATATTGGGATATACAGGGTAAGGGTTTAGGGTTTAGGGTAATAAAGTGATAGTGGAAAAGAAAATGGAAACTGCTATATTTAAGTAGGGCATATACTGGTGTTACATGGGGATAATGGAGAAGAAAATGGAAACTACCATTTAGGGTTTGGGGTTTAGGTTTACCAAGATTACCTATAATAAGGATTATAGCATTTTGGAGTCTACATTGGGGTTCCCCCATGTAAAGAAATTACGGAATAGCTCACGGTGGTTTAGAGTGCACGGCTTCAATCCAAAGTTGTTGCACATTCGGTGGTTTGTCCCAAAAAAATGTTGGGATATATTGTGCCTTGCGGCCTTGCGTATCATGCCCGCTCAAGACAGTTCAGGCTCGCTTTTGTAAAGACGCCTACAGATGCAAGCGCTGCATCGACTTGTTATGGCAAGTGCGTAATTAGTGAGCTCCTTGTTCCCGCGAGTGGAGCTTGCTTCTTGCAATGGCACCATGCAGGCTCTATGTGCCCCGAATCAAGGAAACATACTGTCGAGATAGCGCGCAGGTAATACAGGGGCCTACATAGTTATCAATTGTTGAGGCTTCTTGTATAGGGTCATATGAAGGATTTTCAGACATTTGATCGGGCTGATGTGTGCCGGGGCCTGGCTACCTCTTGGAGCCCCTTTGCTATTCAAATTCTGGAAGATTCCAGGGTGAAAGGGCTTTGGACTTAGGATTTGGCCTCTGATATTGTGGGCGGTTCGATCCTTTCAAATATAATCTACTTTTCTAATTTTTGAAGCCTTAAACCCTAACCCCTAAAGCCTAAGCTGTAAACCCTAAACCGCTGGGCTGGGCCCATTGGGCTGGGCTGTTCTAAAAGGATTGGAGGATTGCCTTTCAGCTTGAGGCCTTAAAGGCCATACAACACCTACATGGTTTTGATGCCTTTATATGGCTTAAAGCTATTGAGGGTTGAAAGCCATATGAAGGCATTTAAAGGTTTAAGGGTTTAAGGGTGTAATGGCCTTTAACTTAACTTGCAGAGCCACATAACACCTTGATATGTTTTTAGGACTGTGACCCTAGATCGCTGCGGCTTCTCAGAGGAGGGGGAGACAGAGCGGGACAACGACACGGGAATAGGATTGGGGTTTAGGGTTTAGGGTAGGCAAGGCTTCTGTGGGGGTGGGGTGGGGGGAAGAAAGATTGGGTATCTATGGCATATTTAAGGTATTCCACATCCTATAGTTACACTGGATACCTGCCCGTGGTTTGATTAGGGCCTAGGGTCTACCTCATGTTGAGAGAAGGTGATCCCTGAACCCTCAAACCCTTAAACCCTAAACCCTTAAACCCTTAAACTTAAACCCTTAAACCCAAAACCCTTAAACCCTAATTGCGAATATTTGTAGAGCCTGCAGGTCAGGTTCGAGTGCACTGAAGTGCGCAGCCACCCGCAAACAGCTTTTGATGCACAAAAAGACGGTTTTGAGAGCTGTTTGGATGCCAATCACTGGGCATACTGTTGGTGGAAAGGTTCTTGGGTCGCAGGATCATGGGGCTGAGGGTGGTGCGGCATCGACGTAAGCCTTGCGCATCCCTAGATACGCTCGACTTTTCTTTCTTAAGCTGCCTCTAAGCTGGACGTACGGTTCGATTGCTGGCTTGATGACTAGCTCCGTAGCAACAGATAGTACTTAAAAGGCTGTACAGCCGCCTTGCACATTGAAAGGCCATCCTAGAAAGAAGAAGTTTAAGGTTAAGGGTTTCGGCCGAGAATACCACTCAAGGTGCAGTTGATAAGGCTTCAGCCGGCAAAGACGCTTGTATTTAGGTTTTAGGTTTTAGGGTTCAGGGTTTGGGGCCTTGGCGGGGGGGGGGACTGGCGTCATCAT